ATGCTAAAGGACAAATCATGAGGTAAATAATTATATCTTCAAAAATGTTCTTATCTTTTTATACTAATAATCAACTTTATAAGCTACTATCTGCCAATACTGATATCACGAGGATGATATTGTGTTTCCTTTATTATGTATATCATTATTTATCTTTTTTTAATAGAAGCTGATTAAAATTATTGAGACAGGTGTAAACTTTGATTTGGCACACCTGGAGTTTATTTTGAATCAGCTGTCAAATAGACCTTCGTATTGATGTTAACTGCTGTCTTAGGTTTAGTTATAGTTTTTGTCTTTAAACAAAAATGCCTATTACAATTGATCACTTTAATACTGTCAGTCTGTTTTTAGTCATCACTCACACATTTTATTTTATTTTTTTCTTTTTGTTAGAATGTTCTCTCTTTTTAATTTATCAGCCAATCAAACACTTGTATCATGGATGTACCAAATATATAAGTCTTGAAAGCACTGTTTCAGTTTCCCCAAATGTATGAACACATTTCCAGAAACTGTGGCTCAGTTTTTCAAAACTGTGCTCACCAAGAGTTCAGTATTTTGTCAAAAATACAAATGTCTTGCAAAATTAAACCGCATACAAAATCAGTTTTTCTTTTCAAAAGACTCATCCTTTTCACCAAAAAAAAAAGATCATTGACTAGACTATGACAAGAGTGTTTTGTGGACAAAATGAACAGCTAGACTGAGTCTTATTTAAATGGTGGGTTTAGATTTTCAAAGAGAAAGTCCAAAAAGTATCATTTTTGAACCAGAGGAAGAATAATGACAATCTAACCCACCAGATTTTGACCTTTCTTTTGCTTTTTTTTTTTTTTTTTAATTTCCTTTTCTAGTTTTTTCCATTTTTTTTTAAAATTTCCTTTTCTAGTCTGAAAATTTGTTGCAGTGTGGGTTTTTGAAAATTGCCATAATCTATGATGTGGTTGCTCCACAGGGTTCCTTTTAATTATGACAGTGTTTTTGCAGTCTAACATGTGCACCTCAGGTGTGTTTGTGCATCTTCTGCTCGGCCAGCCTCGGCCCAGTCTCAAATAGACTGACAGATTGGATTTAAAAGGGTTGGGGAGGAGGTGGGTTAGTGACTAGGGCAGGTCAGTGGGAGGTAACGAGAGAAGAGAGGATGTAAGGAGAGAGAAGTTCAGGACAGGAGCTCAGTGAAGAGGAGGTGAAGAGAGGAGAGGATGAACAAAAGGAACAAGTGTTTCCAGACTGAAACAGTTAGTCCCCCTGTCAGCTGACTCAAACTGTGAGGACATGACTGATTGTGTAAGGGGACGTGTGTGGGGAGGGGGTTGGTTGTAGTGGTTTTGCAGATCCATAAAGAAAGGAGGAAATAATGACAAAAAGACAGATGATCAGAGGGATTAGTATCAATATTAGAGATGTTCTGAGTCGGGCCCATTCACTGTTTATTGTAGGTCCCCAGTTTTCAAGTAAACAGTAAGTTACATGGAGGCCTCAGTTTAGCTTACTTCAACATAGCAAACTCTAAAAAGAAACCGGTTTTCTTGTATTTTCTCCTGAGTAAAACTCAGGAGTTAGACGCTTACAAAACAAAAAAAATCCGGATGCAGATTCACTGAAAGTAAAAGTTCTGATTTCTTCAGGTGTATTTTAAAGAGGAATGGAAATTGAATGGATCATTTCCAATTCATGAGGTCTGGAAATCCTGTTTTGCTGGAGTGGTGTGTTGAGTTCCAGTTTCAGTACCGTCACCACTGAGACTGCCTGCAACTACATGGATTTCTCAATACTGTCATTCACAGTTTGAATACAAACTATAGTTTTTTTTTTGTGTGGACAAATTATGGATTAGGATTATGGATTATGGTGTGATGCAGCCAATAAAAAGTAGTGTAATTAAATAACTCCACCTGCTTCAAAATGCGTTTCAATTAATGACTTAGCTGTCTTGGGTCCAGAAAGAAGATAAAAAGGAACAGGCTGTGGGTGATACAGTGTCTTGAGGAGTTAGGATATGTTTGAAGCTGTCAGAAAGCTAATCAATTCCATAAAAAGTGGTTTCTGTTGAGACAGATTGATTTTATTCAAGTGTCATCAAATACAGTATCAGAACAGTTCAAACATACTTCCTGTTGTTGGATTCTGCATTGTGGGCAGAGTTGGTATCATTTAGATATTGGTCTTATTGTTGAAAAAAAAACTGAGTAAATATGTTGCCATTCTCCGGCTGGTTCTGTATTCAACCTCTGTCCTCCTCGTAAGTGCCCCGCCCTCTCTTTCTTTGCTTCGAAAATGATCCTCATTTCCTGCCTCATCTCAACACCCTGAGTCATTCCCTGCCGGTCTGTTCCACTGAATAACTTTTGATTGTCATTATTAGTTGCAAAATGCACTGCAATTTTGTCCCTGTAACCACAACAAAGCCCAGGATGCTGTGTGGGCTGCTTTCTCAGAGCACCGCACTTATCATACTTATTCTTTGCTGTTCTTCATAGAGTCTCTACTGTACACTGCCGTGCTGTTGCTCATCCTATCACCTGTCTGCAAAGGGATTGTATCAGGTGTTGTTTACAACCGCTTAATGACTATGAGCTCTCCCAAACCCTCATGGCTTGTTTTCTTTGTTGTCCTGAGTGTGAAGTGGATTGTGACACTTCCCACACAAATAGCCTTTAAAGAAATATGATTACTCAATATTTTACCTCCAGTGTGTGCATTGTGCATGATAATGTGTTTCTCAGAGGGACCATTTAGCCTGGGTATAAAATCTAGCTCTTTAAATTATTGCTTACACAGCAGCACTGAGATGCCGAACACGTACGCGCTTCACACACGGAACACCATAAATGACGCCCGTGTTTCTGCAGCATATACTGCACTAATGAATCTTTATTATGTTGACTTGGTGTTGAGTCATAAAACAGTTAATATGAGAAAGAGATATTTCCCTTTTCATAATGAAGGGCCCCAGGGTGTTTAGTCTTGGGGGCTTTATGACAGCATTTACGAAGTGTTAAGAAGTTGTATCTCAGAACAAAAGTGTGACTAGCATTAACTGTAATGATGTAGAGCTCTAGCTATTGGAAGTTTCAGACTAGAACACATTATACAATAAACCCTAAATTTAGCATTTCTAGGAAGTACTTACCTGCACTGAAGCATACGTATCGGCACATCTGTCCAGTTTTGTTCTTTTCGAGTTGGTTGTGAATTTCAGGCTTGTTTGAACACACTTTACCAAAAAATATCTCAAGATTCAAATTCCTCATAAAATTTGATCACGGAACCATTTGATTTTCCTGCTCAAATCTCTACCTCTGGGTCCAGAGGGCTTATTGCTTTGGAAAGTTGTCAACATCACCCACATTTATAAATACTGCTCTCAAAAACAATTTGCCACCATCTGATAACTGTACACTAGAGATACAACGGTTTAGACTGTCCACAGTTAAACACGGTTTCCAGTTTTTGATTCAGTTTGGTTCTGACAGCCTGGGGTGTCGAAGTGCTTTTTGGTGTTGTATTCTCTGGTATTTTAGGTGAATATCACAGAAATAGGAAGAGCCAAAAAAAAAAAAAAAAAAAAAAAAAATCTAATTTTCAAAACTACTACTACCGAACAGCCATCATTGATACTGATAATACAGGGTTTGGTACCTTTTTGATTTTATTGGTCCTGACTCTGATTCACTTAATTTACTTATCAGTTCTCAGTCTCATCAATTCTGTTCCTAATTCCTTTTCCACCTTGTTTGGAGCAGAAGAATATTTAAAATAATACACTAACGGAAATAAGCCTGCCTTTATTGTTCTTTTTTTCTTTTTAAAAGATAAATATTACCTTTCCTTGACCCTTGACATATGACCCATGAAAAATTACAGAACAGAAACATTTAAAATAAAGAGAAAGCTGATGTTTAATGCTGTTATCAAATTATTCTTTTTTTATTTGACAAAATACAATCTTTTAATGATTCTATCAAATAAGAAACAAAATTGCTGAACCTGGATGAACATTTTGTTCAATAGATGTATTCAAAAAAAAGTATGCTTCAGTAAAATATAACAAGGTTACCTGTAGGGCTAAAAGATATATAATTATTGTATCTACATCGAGATTTGATCATTGAAGACATTAATATTGCAAATAAACGGTATCAATGACATACATTTTCCCTGAGTTACAATTTGTAAAACTGCCTCATTCCACATCCTTTTGTATTATGATGATTTTATTTTCCTGAAAAGAAGTATCATTTTCACTAAATCCATAGTTATATTGTTGTGTATCAATATTGAGATATGAAATTTTGTCGATACCGTTCAGTCTTCGTTACATGGCACTTTTGGATTTCTGGCCAACCCATCCAAAACTCTATTAGTAAAATAGTCAATGTTGGGATTACTATTTTAAACAATAGACTCATGTGAAAACCCATAATGTCATTCGAATTCAAACCTCGTGTCTGTGGATATATTTGTTGGCAACATGCGTCTAAAGGAATTTCAGTAAATGGATGGAAAGATAAACTATATATTAGGTATTGCTTTAGTTTTCAGAACATTTAAACTACATTAACAATATTTGATTTTATGTCTCACAGGAATGCCTGGAAAAGCTCTGCCAAGCCTGGAGTTTTAGATGTGTCGTGAAGCAGTAGTTTTGCTTGTTAGACTGAGCAGCCAAAAAGATCAGAGTCCAACTGTCTTCAGCCCTAATTTCTCAGAAATACAGTCTCCCAACACACAAACACAAAAATCTTTTGTCCCACATTGGTTTGAAATCATCTGAGTTGTCTGAAAATGGCAGACAGAGAATCAATAACCAGCAAAGCAGGCCTGCTACGATTTACAGTGGGAGTTGAACCAGAAAGAGTGATTTTTTCCGGGGACTCCTAAAGAGTAGAAGCTGTGCCTTAATGTTCTGAGAAAAGAAGCACAAAGCTTTGTTTTGTCAATCGAGTTGTACCAAATAAAAAGCGGGAATCATCTGATGGAGTGATTTTAGAAACAGAGTGGTACACGGGAAAAGGCTGAGATGAGACTGAATCTAAAGGCAGCTATTATGCAGCTAGTCCGCTCTTATAGAAAAAAGCTTTTCTCGCAGTAGTAGTCGAGAATGACCATCTTCTCCAAGAGTGCGTCTCGCTGGGTGAGAGGGGTCATGGGAATCTTTGCTGCACTTTCCTGACACTCTGCAGGTTTTTGGTGGAGAGAAGCAAACAGCTGCTGAGCTTTTCAGCAGGACAGATGATACTGCAGATATTTTGTTGGGTTTGAAACCAGACGGTGATGGATGTGGAGGTGATGGTTGGAGAGACAGATCTGCAGACTTGCATTAGTGGTTATAACACATTGTTTTGTCATCTGTGACAGAGAAAAAACACCCAGTCATGCTTTTTTGGGTGCATGGTGGGCAGGATCTGGGGAATGTTGGGGATAATGATCCTCTGGACCTTTTAACTTAATATCTCTCCCATCCTCACTGCTCTGACTATTATTCTCGAATAATGTGAGGCAGTATTGATCAGCATATGCTCCCTCTGCCCCCACCTCCTCTCAGGTCAGAGCACTGGGCTGAAATAACAGCTCTCTGTGTTTGAGTGATGTCTCTCTAATAACCGAGCCACCCCGCTGCCTGTAATATCCAGAAGGGGATGAGTAGGCGAGTGTGTGTGAGACCTGAATCTCTATTGTTTTCTGCACATTAAGCTCCAATTTGTTTGTCTGCACTCCGCGCTGACAGCAAGCCGAGCCATCTCGCATGGACGCTGCTGCGGTGTCATCAGGTTTTGAGCTGTTCTGACAGAGGGGGCACTGGAGGGGCTGTCATTTTTTTGAGGAGCACAGAGGAGGGGTGGAGTGTTCACATAAACCCCCCAGGATGCACCTGTGCTCATAATCAGGACACCAAAACACACACAGGAGCACAAACATATAATGATTTTTTTTTTCCTTGGGATGCGCTATCACCAGTGAACTCATCATTTGAAAAGTACTTAGTTACCATGGCAACACGCACAGTAGCCCGGCTGAGGGGCTCGATGGGAAATGAATGATCACAGAGTGCATGCGGCTGTTTCAGAAGAGATATTGATAAGGAGTTTGCATGTGTCACATCCAGCTGTATGTGGACAAGTGGATGTGTGATCTCAAAAGAAGACATTGAGAGGAAGAGAACAGCACAGGCAGGATGGAAAAAAAAGTGAAACCTTGTGAAAATCCATGTGTGGGGTGTGAGATTCAACAGATTGTCTACTTCAAACAAACATGTTCAATCACAGAAAAAACTGCCACTTTAAAATTGAAGCAGGCGTATACATGATGGTTGAGTTGATCCTATAGGAATCAGAGAAGAATATGTTTCTAGGATGTCACTTGATGTTAGAGATAGACTGGTGAGTTGGTCAGCCAATTAATCGGGCTGATCATTGTAATTCAAAAGTCACTAGGCCAAAAAAATTTGACTAAATATAATGTAATATAATTAGGACCTAGACTTTAATGCATTAATTGCGATTAATTTTTTACAGTAATATTATCTCGTTAAAAATATTAATGCGTATTAATTGCACCCAGAACCAGCCCAAGGCATCAGCGAACTAAGCGCCTGCTTAGACCCCGCGGCCAATAGGGGGGCCCCAAGAGCAATCCAATATGTATATAATATATATATATATATATATATAGAGAGAGAGAGAGAGGGAATTTTTCACGTCTGAGTGATGCTTTCTGTATGATTAAATGTATATTATTGTAAAAATAAAATAAAGTAAAAACATTTTAGTGCTGCTGCTGCTGATGTAGGCCTATGATTCTTACTGTCGATATGTCAAAGCTCCGTTACCGTTATGTGCCTTCTGCTGTGCAATTTGCACTGAGCATCCAAAGGGCAGGTAGTTGTGGGACAAAAAAATGTCTCAAAAAAAGGACATATCCTTCAGAAGCAGAGAAAAGAAAGAGGAAGAAGAGGAAAAAACGCCAAGAAAAAGGAACATTTGCATGTCATGTAATATTAATAAAAGAGATTTGTGAAGGTGTGTGAATGTTCAACAATTAATATTATTGGCAGAAATCGAGGGACCCAAAATCAAATTTTGCTTAGGGCCCCATTGAGGCTTGGGCTGACTCTGATTGCACCTACTGTATTTTTGCACCTTGGAATATTTCTCACTGGACCAGTTTCAGGCATACTACTAATGCTGGCGCGCCCCAATGTGATTAGGTGCAGCAGTTATTCTAGTCCCACCCAATGCAAGGAAAAACGAACAAAGTGGCTGATGAAGGTGCTTTAACCTCCTAAGACCTGGCGTCCACATGTGTGGACATCACATTTTTGGTTGTCAAGACCACAATATTAAATTTTGTTCACAAGGGCCTTCTCTCAAAATTTAAAACGAATGTCCTCATATGTGGACATCATTTTCTCAGAAACTACATAATGTAAAAAGATCATTCTTTGTTTTTACACTCATCAGGTCCCAATTAGCCTAAATATCAAAGAGAAAATAAAAATGCATGCCTTGCAAGAGTTCGGGTTTTAGGAGGTTAAATAAAAAGAAATAGTATTGTGCAAGCTATGCAAAAAAGAATTTGCACATCACCGCAGCATGTTAAGCCTCCGGTATCACCTGAATGCTTAACATGTTGCAGCTAGCATGGAAGCTAACGTTAGTGCGAGTACAGCGATCCAACCCACACTCGACCAGATGAGTGGATTCAGAGCTAAGAAGAGTAAGTCCACATCAGAAAAATTAATAAATTCTCTGGCCCACTGGATTAATGGGATTAATTAATTACAAAGCCTCTGAATAATTAGATTTTTTTTTAAATCAAGTACCAGCCCTAAATATAGTATTACCATAATATTGAAGAGAATAATGAAATAATATTGGTACGCGCGTATCTCAATACCTCCCTCCCTTTAAAACCTTAACAGCTACAGGTACAGTATCCATGTATAACAAACACTGTAACAGCCTCGTCACCACCATCAATTCTAATTCTAAAGATAACATTCGCTATTCATACCCACCTTGTTTTTTATTCCACTTTGAGCCTCATGCTAATAACCTTTCACAAGAAACACTCCCTGTCATCTTCGAGCTTTGATTAGAGCCAATGTCTCTTTAATAGAAATGTCAATTACTGCTGGCTTCAGGGTCACATTGATAAAGAGGAGCCCAAGTGTTAATTATAATCTTTACCTGCAAAATAAAAATATCCAGCTCTCTGATGATCAGTGGACAGGCTGTCCATATCTGACACTTACTGTCACAACCATACACACAAGCACACACACACACAAACACACCAACAAAGGCCTGGGATGTATACAAGAAGACTACCTTGGACACACAATCAATATCTGACACCTCCTCATAACCTTTAAATATGAGCATTATGTTGCCTCTCTCTCTCTCTCTCTTACACACACACACACACACACACACACACACACACACACACACACACACACACACACACACACACACACACACACACACACACTCTTACACACAATACAGAGTTTCAGCAGGATGACAACACACGTGTATAATCCAGGAGATATACACTACAGGCCAAAAGTTTGGAAGCAAGATCAGATTTGTACAAAAAAAGACCATAGTTTCATTTTTATACTTTGCAACACAATAAACATGACTATTTTGTAAAGAGTAACTTATCAGAAGACATTTTGACTATAATTATTAGGTATTTGAGTTATTGTTGCTTAGACTTTGTTTTCTTTAAAGTAACCTCCTCTGGCTTTAACAACAGCTTGGCATATACCAGGCATTCGTTCCACAAGTTTTTTAAGGTGTGTTCCAGGGATTGCATTCCAAGCTTTCTTAAGTTCATTAAAAAGATACTGCTGATTCGTGGGACGCGTTTTTCTGACCGATCGATCCAATTCATCCCGCACAAGCTCTATTGGAGAAAGGTCTGGAGACTGAGGGGGCCAAACCATCTTTTGAAGAACACCTTCCTCTTCTTTTTTGTCTAGGTAACCCTGACAGAGCTTGGCAGAGTGCTTAGGGTCATTGTCTTGCTGCAAAACAAACTTGTGACCCACAAGTCTGAGTCCAGATGGAACAACATGGTGCTGGAGGATGGAGTGGTACTGTTCCTTCTTCATGATACCCTTTACTTCAAACAAATCTCCTACTCCATCACCTGCAAAACATTCCCATACCATGGAACTACCACCTCCATGCTGAATTGTGGATGTAACACATGGTGCTTTCAGACGTTCACCAGTTTGTCTGCGGACATAGACTCTACGTTTTAAACCAAACAGTGCAAACTTGTTTCTAGTCATCATAAGTCCAATTTTTGTGAGCTTTGGCCCACTCATATCTCTTTTTCTTGTTCTGTGGATGAAGTAGTGTTTTTTTTGCAGATACACAACCCTTCAGACCGGCCTTTCTCAAACGTCATTTCATGGTTGTCAGAGATATGGGTTTGACCTTGTCATGTTGATTTCCTCCCTTATTTTTGGTGCTGTCTTTCGCCAATCTCTCTTACTGTGTATCCTTCTTTTCTCAATGTACAAATATGTATTTTTGTTTCTTTACTCAGTTGCTTCTTTCTAGCCATTTCTGCGGTATTTTGAATGCCGTTGAGATTTATTAAGATTTTTGTGTGAAGACTCCCAAAAGCCAGAAAGTTGAAGTGAATAATCCAACTGTGATTTGTTTTTTTGCTTTTGCACTGAAGTTTTGACCCTTGCAAATGTTTTTGACCCTGCAACTGAGCCCTTATTTTCTTTTGCTGACATATATTTAGCAATGGTCTGTTAACATCAATGTATATCTAAAGGTAAATGGAGTAAAATGGTGCATTTCCATGAAAGAAACATCTGATCATGGAGTAAATACATCCCAAAATACATAAAACTCATGCTGGATTTTTAAAAAAGCATTGTGAACAAAAACTCGAAGTTACTCCCAACTGTTCGGCCTGTAATGGCCTTGCTTCCAAACTTTTGGCCTATAGTGTATGCATAACCTTTAAATATGAGCTGACACACAGCACTCTCAGAGGCTGCATTCTGACACACACACACACACACACACACACACACACACACACACACACACACACATGCAAACATGTGCGGAGAGCCAGAGTGACCCTGCCATTTTCTGTGATTGTGTGATTGATGAGCCTATTGATGTTCCATATGGTTCATCTCCAGGGTTATGACCTCATGTATTGATCTAGGAAGGTGTCTGGCTCCCTGTATATGTGTGTGTGTTATGTTTCTGTTTTGCATTCAAATGTGTGTTTGTGATAGATTGTGCTATGATGTATACATGAGTGTGTCTTGAGGCGGGCACATGTGTGTATGGGTTGTGTCTCGCTGTGTCCTGAGTGTGCGTGTGTGTGACCTTCTGTCATTGATTACAGGCAGGGCGTGATAGGAATAATCACTCTGCTGTCAGGGGGCTTGTCACCAGGGCATTCAGAGCCTCACCTGAATCCTGCACAAACCTCATATGAGATGTTTGACGTTTTGACAAGTGTTTTGTGCAGCGCTGGAATTTGGATGAAACCAAAAATACCCTGGATGACATTGTTTCTGAGGCCCCGGTGGCTTTGTCATGGGCAAAAAGGTAACAGTCTGATTGATCGAACTGGAACAGATGCCTTTAACTTTTTTTAGTTGTGTCTGTGGTCACTGACGACACACTTAACACACTTTTGTAACAAAAACAAAGTAAATTCCATGAGCTTTGTCACGAGTCTTTGTCTCATAGCAGCTCTGGCTTGGGTTAGAAATATACAATCTGATCGGTATTATTTTTCATAAGCATTGATACATTTCATTTTCATAAAATGAGGACAGTAAGGCAGAACTGTTTTTTTCCTATTCGAGCCATCAATATCATTTGGCTTCATGCTTAATGCTTCCCTTATCAATGTCTTCCACTCAGTTCAGCATGCCTTGCAAAATGAGGATACTTTGCATCTCGAGGGGCAGTCAGCACTGGAAGTAACCAAGAAAATAATCATGGTGCAACATTCAGATGTTTTCTGCGGAGCCAGGAGGTGACATTTATTTATTTTTTATTCACACATGCGATTTAGTATCTTGCACTTGCGTATTATTATATCGCACAGGTGATTCAGTTTCTCGCACATGCAATTAAGTATCTCGAATGTGCATTTTAATTGTATCTTGCACATGTGTTTTTGTAAATAATCCTCCACACGCCTCAGTTGTATAAGAAGATGGACAGTGTCATGGACTGAGAGCATACTATCAACATTGTCTTTCATTTTGGAATGACTCACAAAGACATACTTTATAGCTTAGCCACATTTGGTATTGTTTTGAGTAGGAGACACCGCATCAGGATCCTTAAAACACAGCCACTTTACTGTTGGTGATATTCGGACTTGCAGGAAGTGATTTTGTCGATTAACAAACAGTTAAATCACACCTGCAATATGATAAAACGCATGTGCATGATATTAAATCCCACGTGTGATATACTAAAACGCACAATTAAGATACTAAATTGCACGTGCAAATTAAAAGATAATAAAATAATGTCACCTCCCAGGCTCCGCAGTTTTCTAATCCCACAATGAAGATCAGAGATTTTTAGAGATGGTCTGGATCCAATCCCAACAAAAATAAAGGCAATCAATGACGATTTTGCCCTAAGTCCTAAACAATGTTGTATCTGTTGTCAGCTGACTATGTTTATACATCTGTCATCTTTGTTTTTGATTGTTGGCCAATCAGAGGCTGTATTTGCTCTTAGCTGACTTATAAAAGCCTATTCACTGTGACCTACCTCTTTTCCACACAGACTTTTCATGTCTGATTCCACAAGTCCACCACAGCTAAACCCTTTTTCAAGTAAGGGTTTATGGTGACATGTGCTCACAGAGATGAGTCTTGAATAACTCTGTCTATTATCACTGGCATGGAATTTTTTTTTACATCTTTGATTGATTTTTATATTAAATTTTTAGCTCTGTATTTATCTTTATTATAAAGTGTGCTTTTAGCAATGTATGCAAGTGACTTGACCGATCAGCTGAACTTAAGGGATTCTGCTACAGCTAGGCAGAATAACACAACGCTGATTACACAATTTGACCACCGTGACCTTTGTCAAGGAAAAGATTTATGTTACAGCTTTTATCATTTCAATCTCAAGAGATCTGGGGGTTTTCCTTTCAAGTGTACTAAAAGAGCTGCCAACATACAAACAGCCATTCTCAGGCAACAGCCACTGTCATTCTATTGCAATACCATTCACTGCCATTATCATTGCATTGCTACTCTCCGCATGAAATGGCCTGATTATCATTAACCATGGTACTGTTGTGAATAACCCTTAGGATAATCCAGTCTTTGCCTCTCAGTGCTGTTACTGAACATCAGAAGGAAGCACTGCCCACTATCACTTATATGCAATTGGTCATTATGGCGCCATAAGGAATCAATTGATTTTAAAGTAGAGGCAGATCAGATGAAGGACATGAGTTTGACCAGTTGATGCTGTTGTGTGCTCTGTATAGATGCTACAGATGAATGTCAAATAGTGTGCAGTAGAGGCATAATATTACTGGAAAACAGTTACAACTTGTTGAATGATCATTAAATATCATCCACCAAATTGGATTCAATAAAGTAGCTCTTTACAATTTGCAAAATAAATAGTACTTACAATGCAAAGCAGTTAACATTTCTACAGAAAACAGGACAGATAATGTTATAGTCCTGACTATTCATGCAAACTCTAATATGAATATGGCTTTTACTGTTGGGCTTAAAACAGCATGATGGAAAAGCAATTACAAGCAAGAGTTTATCATTACCCTCTAATAAATACAGTCCTTATTCAGGAAAAGTCACACAGACTCACAGGTGACAGCTGGACATTACTGGCAACTTCACAGTTTTCCCAATTTTCTAATATTTCCTAGAGCTAATCTCTGACCTTTGTTTTCTTTTTCTTTAAAGTACCTTTCCAATCATTTTTTTCCCCTTATTTAAAGTATTCTCAGTGGTCTTTACACTGTAAACAGGACATTTTTAGCCAAAATCACATTACTTGTGTCATTTCGAGGGTTTTCTTCTGCAGAGCTCATGTAGCTTATTGGCAATTCACCTCTGAGTCGTGGGCGGAGACAGCGCACACTCCACATGTTAGCTTGTAGCCTAACATTGCAAGTGTAGCAGAAGTAGCAGGTAACATAGGCGCTATTCATCTCTCAGACACAAATCTCTTTGGGGACATGATGAAAGTTAATATCATAATTAGCTTTCTTACGAGCATTGCAATCTGCTAACGCAAACACCGGGTCCATGATAGTCCTCTCTTTTTTCCGAGTCTGTCCTGCATAGTGGGGCTCT